CCTCGAAAATTGAAATGCTTTGCGTGTTTGGGGCCTTTCTGCAAGCACAGGGCTCTGGCTGCTGCTTGGATCGTTCTTGGCATCTGTTTCGTACATGGCCTCAACTACAGTACTTTAGGAGTTCTAGCTTTAGGGTTTTGGAAGATTGTCTCCATCCATAGTAATTGCACCCATGTGATTCCTCAGGGCATGCCAGGGTAGTGGCTCAAGCTGGAGTAGTTTTCAAAGCTACTACAGTAGGCGCAACAAATGAGGATAGGTCTTGTAAAGTCCCTATGTAAGTACATTATACCCCAGGAGGACCCCCCCGCCACCCTGTAATAGTGGTATAATAGGAATTTAGTAGCACCTTAAAATAATCCTCTTTATCCCTTATAGTCACTATTACTGGGTAGGGACTTCACATAAACTATACCCAAACCCTATTGGGCCCCTGCGTTACCTTCGAGGATGATGCACACCGGGACATCCTACATCACTCTGCAGTCCAAACGGCAGGGCTCAAATTAAGAGCCCAGCAACATTTTCGAGCTTTCGTTCAGAGCTCTGTCCCCCTTCCCAAAGGGTCTATGTAGGTGTATATATATATATATAGTAATGATTTAGGGGGAAGAAGGATTTCATGTATCGCTACTTTGGGGCCCAGCATGTTAACGTAATGGCTACATGAACCCTTTGGTCTTAAGCTTCTCCATGTCGAACCTGCCCAGCAGCATTTTGGTTTAGGGATCCAGTCCCTGTGTGATGTCCTCACCCATAAGGTCCAAGAATCATCTTTCTACATTCGAACTTTGGCAACTTGGGTTTCTCCAAAGGTTTATGTGGACCTGTGATGTAGGTTTTCCAAACTTTGGAGGCCCCATGTGGGGTTCTCTAGAGACCCTAAACCCTACACCCTAAACCCTGGAATCCTTTTGAAGGCCTTTGTTGTATCCCTGGGCACTGGATTCCTAAATCTTGTTCTCAGTATCAGGTCATACTCACTACGGCTAAACCCCAAACCCTAGACCCTAAACAACCTACTGGCCGGGTACCTGGAGCAACCCTCACCTGAATCAGACGCTTTGCGCAGGACATCGACGCATGCGTGTTTGCACTGACCTGAGACTGCTAATTTCACTGTAGTACTCTTAGGATGCTTCATTTTCATTATTGTATAACGCCAAGGAAGTAATCACACTAGACATTTCGTTAGGTCTAGGGAGATTACAGTTTAGGGCGCAATCACATGTTCGTTCACCCAGCATGCATTATGCTGAAGGTGCAAGTACCTCCCACAGCCTACACAGTAATTGCTAGTACCAGAAGCCCAAAGTACAAATTCTTTGTCTAGTGGTCCCTGCTATGGAGGCATCTGCACAGCAGTCCCTATCTAATCTTGTACCAGTGCCATTATATACCATTCCTTCATTCCCTGCAGAGCACTGCTAAGATTTGGCACTTGTAGTGTCTTGGTTTTTGCCACCAACGCACCACAAATCCTCCGTAGCAGGCTATGTGGAGACCTGAAAAATCACCCATCCTCTTGTGATCATGAGTGTCCCTATCATCGGGGTCCAATTGCTTTTAGGCCATCGAATGACAAAAATCCCATCTGGATTTACTCCTCAAAGATGTGATCCTGATTTAAGTGCCGGAAGTATCTGTTGCCTGTGTCTATGCCTGAAATATTACGTACTTGGAGAGTTAGGTGAACTTAGAAAGTAGATAAACAATGACCCCTTGCAGAGGGTCCCTTGGAAGGGTTGTTAGAATGTCATGCAGGATGATACAAAGTTCATGAGGTTGTTTGAGGTGTTTTCTATACCATAATATACTATAATATACTATAATATACTATAACATATTATAGCATACTATAATAAAGGGTTTATAAAACGTGTAAAGGCTTTGTAGAGTTTTATACAACGGTCATGGAGATGGGATGGAGGGTTGCTAGAGGGTTTAAAAGGTGTCATAGAGTTTTTATACAAGGTTTACAGAGGGTTCATAGCTTTTCTTCCAGGCTTATAAAACATTGAAGAGTTTTCTGGAGGGTATTTAGATTGTTGATATAGAATTTGCAGAATTTCATTGGGGCTTATTAGAGGTACACCTACCCGCATCATGTGGCCCTGTGACCCTCTGGTTTGGGGTCCCGCTCTAACAGAAAGTTCATGTTTCGTGGGGGCTGACGGATCCTTATCCCCAGAAAGGAAGGGAGGGGCGGGGGACTGGGAACGCGCAGCGCGGAATCCAAAAAAACAGCCACATGGCCGCTTTGGGCCCAACCTACGAGCGCATGCCGCATATCAGGAATTCACACAATCCTGGGCTGGAGAGGCTTTACACAGAACGCCTCAAGTGCAAGCAGCAGTTGAAGCTTTCACCCAAGGGTACAGCTGCCTAGATGGTATGTGCTTTGGCGCACGGGGTTCCCATACAGGTAGAAGGCTCCGTTGGGTCCCATTTAGCCCAAGCGCGCAAGCCGTGATCTCAAGCGTCAACATCGAGTCTTTGGTGGGGTCTGCGAGCTGTGTGTGAGCGACTTTTGTGGTTGTTCTTCAACGAGCAACGAATGCGCTATGCTCACTACAGAATGGAACGGGCAGCAGTACTGACGGGGCTCAAAGGTCGGCTCAAACCCTAAACCCTAAACTGCAAAGCTGGTAAGTCAGGGCAGCAACAACCGTAGTCTTTCTAGAAGTAACAGTACTTTTGATGAAGGAATCTTCAGGTACTAGTGTCCACATTTTGCAGTATTTCCTGCTGCGACACTTTGGCTCACGCTGGGCAAATCTAGGTTTGAATCTTGCATGTGGGAGGTGGCGGCTTCAGAGAACTTCAGGATATACCCTTGCATCCACCTATATTCTACGGTAGTTTCCATTTTCTTCTGCATTATCCCTGTATAACCCCAATGCCCTATCATGATATAGTAGTTTCATTTCCTTTTCCATTATCCTGATAGTTAAGTATGAGTACTACAAAGGCAGGTGCTACATCTGCACTTAGAGACCTTCGCGTAATTGTACTAGAGTTGCATTCACATTGCCGTGACAGATTTCGACGGAGCGCAAGGTCTGTAAAACGGGCCCAAGGGGTCCTAAGTACCGATATAGGGGATACTGACCCAAACCATATTACTAATTCCTAGTATAGAAACCATACTTCATACCATACAGGTACTTAGGATCCTTTGGGTGGTACCAGGAGCCATTGCCATGGAGAGTACACCTTTGGCTGAATATGCCGCAGGCTTTCGTAAGAAGAACCCGGATGAAAAGCACGTAATTTCAAGCGACTGGACGTGCAGTTCAGTGTAGGCTAGGCCAGCCCGGCCGTGGTTTAGGGTTTAGGGAACCCTAAACACCTAGAACCCTATTCCAAACCCTACATCCTAAGCTGCGCCACTGACAGATTGCCATCGGGATGTCCTTCGGACCTCCAGAGGTAAACTGAGACACGATCCAAGAGTGTGCTACAAGGAAGTTTCCCATGATAGGGGATCCCAAGCTTTAGGGTTTTAGGGCTTAGGGTTTAGGGTAGACGCCCCCATATTTTATAATCCTTCTTATGGAGACCCTCGAAACGGTACCCCTAATGTCTTGGAAGCCCCCAGAACTCTTCAGACCCCACCCCCACCCGGACGCCACACTCTCCCCGTAAGCCCTAAACCCTCACACCAGCGTGGGCTTACGGGATCCGAACCTACTTCAATCACACTGAATATAGAAATGGGAGGCCGGCTTGGGTTCCCCAAATTCGTGGTACCTTTTCCCTAAACCCTAAACCCTAAACCGCGTTTTTTGGGGGGGAGGGTCGGTATATAAGAAGGGTTGTAGTAAATTGGGGGTTTATAGTGGTTTTCCATCCCTAAGAGCCCAAGTACCTTATAATTGGGTTTAGGGTTTAGGGTTTAGGGTAACCCTCTAATTATTATTACCCAAACCCCAAGTATCTAATAATTGGATACTTGGACCCTAAACCCTAAACCCTTATTTGGGGAAACTACCTCTTTGTCAGATTCCTCTTGCAGTTGAATGGTTGGATTCCTCTCGACCTTGAAGAGACATGATCTCCTCCTCACATGGTTTAGGGCTTAGGCTTCAGGGTATAGAAACGGTTGGGTTTTTTTTAATTGATTCGAAGTGACCAGATCTCATAGAACGGAATAGAAATGGTCAAGCTCCCTGGGGGGGATCCCCTCCCCCACGTAGAACTCCTACTTACTTCAAGCAGCAGAATTAGGATCTTTCGGGTTACCCCTTTTAAACCCTAAGCTCTAAACCTTAAACCCCTAACCCCTAAAGCCCTAAGCTCTAAACCCTATAGGCCTAAGCCCTGAACCCCCAGAATTTCAGGGCCCGTACTAGGAGCCCATGGCTTCAACCTTAGACTAAGGACCCAGGTTTCCCAAAGCAGGCCACTCACAGACTTTAGGGCTCAATCCCAAAGGGCCCATGCAGTCATATAGGATTTACGGTTTAGTGTGTACATACTTGGGCCCTAAAGTAGTTATATGCTAGCCCTTTGGGTCCTAAGTATGTACTACATAGCTACATGGACCCTAAACCCTAAACCCTAAATTATATAGCTACATGGAACCCTTGGGAATGCAGGTAGTATCCATAGACTTCTATCGCACAGGCATGTGTTATTTGGAGCTTGGCGGTCCCCCGTCCGAGACAAGCCCTTTCACTAGCCGGCAAAGGAGAATGATAGGACAATAATCCAGGGTCCATGTACGCAATATTGAGGCACTTGGGTTTGGGGTAATAGTAATTATAGTATTGGTTTTGGGTAAGTGTAGGATGATTAGGTGCTTGGACCCTTAGGGTAATTCAGGTTCCTTCGTACTTGAAGCATCGGCAGATTCAAAGCCAGACCGAGGTGATCCAACCTTCCCCATGTACACCATGCTTGCCGAGATTCTCCTGCAGTTGACACAAATAAAGATGCATGAGGAGTTGATCCAAGCTGGGGCCCTCATTGAATTTGATGAGAGCATGGGCAAGGCCATGTTTGTGTCCCACCAGTGGCTCAGCGACACGCATCCCGACCCCAGATTTGAACAACTGCGTGTCTTACAGGAGACGTTGATCAACGTTTCAGCCGGCACCAGTCGTGTTAATGTCCCGGTTGCCACTGAGATATTGCATGGCCGTCTTTCTTGCCCTGCTCCCAGTGACTTCAACCTCACACGTCTTCATATTTGGTATGATTACTTTTGTTGTCCACAGGCATTGTTGCCTCATGCAGAGAAGACTCGTCACCGTGCAATTCACAGCATTCCTGCTTATGTGGCAAGGTGTGAGTTCTTTGTCGTGCTGTGCCCGGCATTTAAGCACGTAGACAGTGGAAGTACTCTGAGCCAATCGACGTGGGGTGAACGCGGGTGGTGCAGAACAGAACGTGTGGCTCGCGAACTGGCAGCTCGCAAGGGTGGCTACATGATTGTAGTAGAAAGTCCGACTCTCCAGACATTGATCTGGGAAGGAAACAGGTTACTTGATGCTCCTGGATCGGGTGAGTTTACGAGGGATGTGGACAAGACTATGATTGGTCGCGTGATGGTGCAGATGGTGTGGACGAAGCTGTCTTATTGCCTCCAGCAGCAGGACTTGCACAACTACCGATTTCTGCTGAATTCGCAGCAAGCAAGGTGAGGGTTTGCGAAGATCAGGGATCCCGTTTGAGGTGTGCTTTCTTAAGCATCAAAATATTGTTGGGTCTACAGTGCCCCCCAAGCTATCTAAACCCCTCAGGTTCTTCCGTGACTTGGATGTGGAGCCAGTTTATGGTTTTCTGCCGGGCTTGGTGAACGGCACCGACCCAATGGTAGAACCGAAGGCTTTTGTTATGGAAAATTTCCTTCACCAGAACGGCTTCAGAAACTCGGTTGCTATTCAGGATTTGTGTAAGAAAATTACCTTCTTGGGGGGACCATATGACCTACTGAAGATACCCATTATGGTACCTGAATTCAAGTTCCTTAACAGCAACCAAGGAAAAGTCACTGACAGGGATGCTGGTGGATGGTCTCCGCTGTGTTTCGCAGCGCTGAATGGAGATCCTGTTGTAGTCCAGGCACTTCTAGAAGGCAGGGCTGATGTAAACGATGCCACCACGAAAGCCAAAATGGAGGTCCAATTTTGCAAGAAAATCTCTGCACTGGGCATTGCAGCCTTCTACCGGAACCATGAGGCCCTTCAGGTTCTCTTGTCTGCAGGTGCCATTGTGAACAACAAAGATGGCTTCGGTGGCAACGCACTCCACTTGGCATGTGCTGGCGACAACCCTCTCGCAGTGCAAAAGCTTTGCCTGGCCAGTGCGGATACTGTCCAAGAAAGCTTGCCGGGAATGACCCCCTTCCTGGTTGCTTGCTGCTGCGGAAACGCGCTCGCAATACGAGAGATGCTGGTGCAGTTTCCAAAGCAAAGCCTGCGACATGGCTTGCACATCGCCTTGATGTTCAGTGGAGGGGTCTCCGGGGACACCATTTCAGTTCTTCTTGAGGCCAAAGCTGATGCAAACCAACAATTCAAGATCAGCATGAAGGATTCTGGGTGGTGGCTCCTTCTCAACATTATGGGTTGCCGGCACCGGGTGAGCCCATCACGTCTCACATCTTTAGCGTACCATCACTATGGGGCGACGCCCTTGATGTTCAGTGTCTTGACCGGCAACTTCGAGGCGACGACTGCGTTGCTGGCTGCAGGAGCACAGGCGGGATTTGTTCAAGAAAAGCACGGGGGGTGGGGGGCATCTAGGGGTCTTGGGGTCCTGGTGACTGCAAGGAGGTTATATTGTGCTAATCTCTTTAGGTAATGGGGATGAGTTTCAAAAACTGCAAGGTGGGCATCAAAAACTATCGCAACAAGACAGTGTGCGACCTAGCTCCTAAAATGCTGGCACCTACGTGGCTGATCCAAACGCTCTTGGATGCTGGACAGCCGCCCCCAGATGTGCGAGACAGCGACGACGACACCTTCTTTATCTGAGCTATAGTTCCCACTCCATAGAGGAGTTACATAGGGGTTTATCTAGGGGAGTATTGTACCGTTTATTGATGGGGATACTAGGAGTTTATCCTCAACCCTAAACCATAGATTATAGGAGTTATGAAGGGGGATACTAGCAGTTTAGTTAAGATGAAATCTCATCTGAGAAGCGCGGCATTTTTAAGCGCTAGTTCAAGGTTTGTACTTGGAGCGTGCGTCAAGGGGACGTCGGGTGTAGGGTTTAGGGTTTAGTACAAAATAGCCTTTATAAGCCATATTTTAGCCCCAGCGATCTCCATTCTTGACCTGCTTGCTAAGTCCCACTGACCTCCAAGTAGGGTTTAGGGCACGCCCTCTCGAGTGCCTTCTTTGGAGTCGTAAACTCGGGCTCTCCAACTTCAGTCTCACCAGGTCAGCTCTGCCACTCCTCCATCTTTTTTGAGGACACAAAGAGCTTTTTGCAGCCTCTCCCCCTGGGGCTCCTAGACTACAAATGAGATATACTTGAATTAGATGATTGGTTGCGGCTTGCCAGCAAGGCACCCCTTAACGGAGGATTTTCTCTTCAATCATGTTGGGGATCCGAGTATCATTGAGGGCATACGGCAGATATTTGGGCCCCCTGGGTCTAGAAAACATTCTGAACCCTAAGCCTGAATGCAGAAACCTACGCACTTACCAATATCATGTTGACGTTTGTGTTTGAGGTACCCCATACCAAGCTTATGCAAGAAATCCAGGGCCACAATATTGGTAATCACTTGGGCTCTTACAAAACAGAATCGCTCCAACCCCAATAGATACTCAGTTCCCGTGTTGGCTTCCATTTCGTTCCTGAACAGTAAACCCAAAACCTCTAAGACCGTTTCTCCACTATCACTGGAATGTTGGGAACCTTTTCGACCCCTGCAGTACGCTGGGGGGAGGCGTGCAAGTTCTCCGTACCGAACACAGGACTTGATCAGCCCTCGGGCTTCAGGCCATGCACTTCTGAAGTTAGGGTTTAGGTTTTAGGGCTTAGGGACCCTAAACCCTTAACCCTGGGGGTTACCGGGTACCTACCCCCGTGGAGCCATCTTCCCTAAAAGACTCGAGAATCAAAGCGGCCGCATGGGCGATCACTGTTGATGGTGGTAGTAGTGGTAGTAGTAGTAGTAGTAGTAGTAGGCGCCCCCCCCCCTACCAACTATGTTGGTTGATATTTCCACCACCAGAGCTTTGGGGGGAGGGGGAGGGGGGGAGGGGGCGGATAATTGTCAACTTCCCCCAAACTTAATGCCCTCCTCCAAATTCTACAACTAAACAAGATCA